CATTGGAAAGGCATTTTTATATGCGGCTGGCCAATTTCCGAAGTTATCTAGAGTAAACGATGATTGAGATTAATATATGACACTCTTTCAAAATCTCATAAATAACTGAATGAACTTCTCAATGGAAGCATGAGGTCTGCTTACGCGGTATCAAACAGTCATGTGGAAGCCACTGCTTTTTTTGAATTCGATGTACACTGATGAGCCAGTTTCCACTTTTAGTAACACTGTCTTTCAAGATGTTCTTTTTGTGTACTTTGTCTACTGCAGTGATTAAAGACTGTGCACATGACATGGTGGATTACTGGTTGTTCTTTCCTGCCCAAAGTAACACTTACCTCGAAGATTGGCATATTGGTTCGGGAATTGTTTGCAAGAAGTCCTGGCCGTTTGCAGTCCATGAAATCTTAAAAAATCCTTGCAGAACGCTGGAAACCAGTAATTTTCAATTTTATTAAATTCACAGTAGTGTGCACCACAGAAAGGAAAATTTTGAGCTCTAATAAATGTGGGTAGTTGACGAACAAGTGGGAATCAGTTTCTCTGTTTCTAGAACAATGAATCTAATTGAGTGAATTCCAGAATCTTCTCTGTTGATAATGGTTATATATCCTATAGGTCACTTTTCTCGTTGAAGAAATTTTACATTAAATTGTGCATGATAGTTTCTAGTATGTGGGTTGTAAAGATATAGACAAGATTAATTTAAATGTGTTGGTTAATTTCTCGAATCACCTAGCCGGTATTGCGTACACAGACAACTGCAGGTGCAACATGTTTTTTTAATGGCATCTTTCGTGAAAGGCATGATTATCGGCTTGCCGTTTGTTCTAATGAAATGCGCTTGACGCTAGGCAAAATCAATTCACTGAAGGTCGATTCTATATATTCGTTATTGCTAAGGCATCCCATCTATCTAGCTCACCTGATTTTAAACAACTCATGGCTTATAGTAGCGTCCTCGGTCATCGATCTTCTACGTGACTCTATATTGCCTTTTTTACTTCCCCAAGAAAAAATACTCCTCGGCCCTTCGGAAATACCTCGAAAGTTAGGGTGGCACTGTTTTTTTCCAATGAAAATGGCCTCTTTTTATGACCCGGGTCTACTTTTTTATGGATTCCAGCACTTCTTCCATTGGTTTTTTCTCATCCACCTTTCACGAGGCTCTTCAGAATTTGCGAGGGGATTCTGCTACAGGTTAATTTTCGTCTTCCTTATAAATGCCGCTGAATTCTGGTCGACCTTATTTTTCTTGCAATCTTTGGTTAATCATGCTAAGGCGATGCAAGATCTTCACTACGTGCAGTCGCTAATTCCTATGGATCGGAGGGAGCTCTTATGCCACAAATCTGCTCTTAATTTCCGAAACCCGTAGTTATGAAAGGTTTGGTTGCTACGAGGTGCTTCAAATCATGTCATATCTGTTCGTTGGACGTGAAGCATCTTTAACACTGTGCTTCGCAGTAATGGCTTTCTTTAATATGTTAGAGTCTTTTCATACCTTTGGTTTGAACTTGAAATACATAAGTGATGCTCGTCCATGAATCCATTATGGAGATGGAGATAGCTGTAGCCAATTATTTGTCATTCTTTGAAATTAGACAATACTGCCCATATCTTACCACTGAGGCTTTCATTATAATTGCAATATGTTGTGAGCGTCGAGTCATTTCATTGTAGACGAGTTCTATTAATTCTATGTCTGTTATCCGATCAGCGAATTATATATTTGTGGAAATCTTCGACTTCCTTGCACCAGTTGGTGGGTGAAATCTAAGAAGCAATGTAATGATGCATATGTGAGATTAGAATGACATCAGTGATAAAGCAGTTTTGTTTGCGCTCTTTTGAGCAAATACCGTGCACTTCTTGCTTAGTCCCAAGCTACTTTCATGATTTCAATCGTCGCTGAATAGAAAAGTGTAAGAAGCTTGTTTCACTACACTTACACTTACACGGCAAGAAATTTAACACACTACTCTCACACTTGGAAAACCTTTAAATTTTTCAATCGAGTCTGCTTTTCCTTCGAAGATTTCTATTGCGTTATTTACTAGCGCTTACCGTTCCATAACTGAAATAAGGTAAGGCAAAAAAAGCAAACGAATTTGTATACTTTTACACTCAACTATTATTGGCTGGTACCACTTTTATAATCATAGGTTCCAGCACATAATCTGACCACAGTAAACTGTATCGAACACTTCAAAATGCATAAAAGAACATTTCCATCACATGGTTCCATATCACAGTAGTTTTCGACAAAAAATTCAAAACCTGGAAAAAAAGAAGAAAAGTTTTAGCTAATGAAGGGAAACGGAAAAAGATGGCAAACTTTGGCATGATATGGGCATCCTTCACTGGTTTTAAACTATGGAAAAGCGCTTGTTGGAGTTAGCTAGCATAACAATATGCGTCACTTTTCGTTTATCCCAACTGTTGTTTTTAATTTTGAAACCGACGGCTATTTAACCTCGTTACTGTAATAATCAGCATTTGTTCATACTGTTGAGTTTATACGAGGTTGATGTGAGATGTTTATACGGCTAACGTTTCGACGTCTTCGCCAAGGATCGACAGCTCTGAGGAGGCCGAATAAACATCTCATATCAACCTCGTGTAAGCTCAACAGTATAAAAAAAATGTTGTTTCTAAATTTAGTTCTACAAATTTCTTTGATTTTCTATGAAGCAATTTTGGCTTCTAATTCACAATATCTTGGCTGTTACTGCTTATTCTTTTTTCATTGCGGATTATTAAGTGAAACACAGTCACATGGATGCTGAGATATGAGCAAAACTCGGAACTTCAGTTGGGCTTGGGACATGAGATTACCGTTTTTCTGAACAAAGCTCTATACCTTGTTCGAATACGGTGCACCACACTTCTCTTCTATTTTTCATGTTAATCTTTTCTAAATAATTAAACAATCCAGTCTGTTAAGACTAAACACTAAAAGGAGTAGAGTAATGTGAATTTTTGCACCAATTCTGAAGTGACTGCTCCTTGCCATTGAAGATGAATTTTTGAAGATGTCACTTGGAGCAAGTCTATATTCAACGACGGTGGGATCGATTGTCAGAGAAGTATATGTGATTAAATCAACAGTTTTTAAGCGTGTAACAACCATGGTGGAAAAAGATGAAGCATCTAAACACTTCCTATAGCTAAACTAGGCTCAAAAGAAGGTATCAAAAGCATTTTTGCTATCTGCAGACGGTATTTCCACCATAAATTCATATCTTAGGACGAAATCATACCAATAGAAAAATATCTTAATGTTTTGAAGACGAGGAATAAACCAAGAACTGCAACTTATGTTGCCAATAATGTTGATTAATCGAAAGTAATCAACTCTATTGGCCGACAAACAACCGGCCGACCACTGGTAATGCAGCAAACCTGTCATGTCCTCATCTGTCTTGTGTAACGCAGCTACCTACGAAAATAATAAATTTCACCACTGCTTTTTCTATTACACTGAAAGATGTTATTCTGTGAGCCTCGTAACGTAACGCGAAAGTTTATGTGATCTCTGGGCTGGAGTCTCCTATATCGTAAATAACCGAGTAATTTGACTGAGCAGCAATAAAATCTCATTTCCTCCTTACCCCATGTCTGCTTTCTGGATTCAGCTCGAATAAATGGCTGGAGTCTTTCGCAGCTTAAATTTACTCTCAGGGAGTTTCTTAATCGGTATGACAAACTCTCGTTTATTTTGGATGGTCGCGCTGCAGTTGAACACTACCATACTGAAAATTGCGGTTCGTCATTTAAAAGTACGTCCCAATGATTACTGGACCGTTTAGCGAAATCAGAGTCAGGATAATGAAATGTTTGTAAGTCGTTCTTCTTTCAATGGTTTCTACTACTGTTTCCATTTCACAACGATCTTCAACAGAATTAAACTATAGTAGACGAGAATCTTGATACAGTGAAAAAGAGGGAGTTCCAGCGCATGTAATGTGTGAGAAAGGGAAGGAGGATTAGAAACCGGAGGCTGGTGACTAGCGGTGTTCTTCACCTTACAAATATTTTCATGTTCCTCGTAACACTGTTCGTCGTGTATTTCATTGCTGAGTTCTTCATCATTGTGTTATTCGTCACACGCGCAATTGACTATTTCAAATTCGTTTGTCACAAGCATTTGCTAACTGCAGACAAGGGTATTTTTTGTTTGTATAGTTTCGTAATATCCGGTGATGCGCATATTTTATTATTTTAAATAACCACGTGTTTATTCCGTTCTAAATGAATAGGAATCTAGCAATTCTCACATTCGATTCGTTTCCTTCTATCCATCGTCTACGAAGGTCTTCCAAGTTTTTACGTGTGGCTTCGGTTGCTGCTTGAGGATTTTCATTTCATCTAGATTGACGGAGAATGCTGATTGAGTCGATTTTTTTGGAGCCCTGAGATAGTTCTGCTGAAGCATTCCTACTTGGATTGCAGGGGTGTTTTTCAGCCAGGCTAGTCTGGTACCAATTTCTCGACCCTGGAGCGATGACAGACCTGGTTGGATCGGAGCGAATAGCTTCTTCGTACGAGTTTTACTCATCCTACAATTTTAAAATAAATCCTTTTTTCCTTTTACTTAGAATTTCAGTCTAAAAACATTTTAAAGTAATTTGCACTCTGTATACATTGCCTAATCGACAAGGAGAATATCTATCGTAAGGAACTACAATTTATTCATGACAAACACTGCTGTCTTTAGATAATCTGCATTACAGTAACGTTATCTCCGGTTGTCTACTTTTTATTTGGAAATGGCTTCTTTAAGTCGTATAGATTGATTCGTACTCACTGCTTGCCATAAAAATTTTTCATTCTTTACTCTGATTGCCTTGAAAAGAAAACTTGTACCGTATACATATCAGACGTATGTGTGCAGTTACAGGTTGTGTTACATCTACACTTGAAGTCTTGCTTTCCGATTAATTCGTTGCTGCGTTGCCGTAAAGTATTATTTCCATTTTGTTAGCAGAAGCTTCATTATGGGCAAAAGCAATAGCAAGGTCACGAAGGAAACTGAAAAGGACACGGTTAAAACTTCGAAACGGAAGAAAGCGTGCAAAAAACTTACACCTGAGGAAATAGATGAGCTCATGGAGAAAACTTATTGTACGTTATTTACCATACTTTTCTTATTTTTACCTCATTTAGACGGCACATATTTTATACGTGATATTTCTAGTTTCAAAAAACGAGTTGAAAAAATGGCACAAGGATTTCGTACGTGACTGTCCTACTGGCGAACTGAGATTGGAAGAATTTCAGAATATTTACAAACAGTTCTTTCCCAATGGCGATCCAAGCAAATTTGCAGCATTTGTCTTTAATGTATTCGATTGTAACGGAGTAGGAAGTTTCTCTTCTGTTCTTTTTCTAATTTGTCTATTTCCTCACCTTCAGTAGCTTAAGAATTTCGTATTCCGACACATCGCTTTTCATTGTGGTTACGTCGAAAGCTGCCTAGTCGATTTAGTATTAGACCAGACGCCTCCCTCAGATTCATTGCTGGCTGAAGCTGGAAGATTGGGAAAAACTGATTTTGCGCTTTACAGGATGGATGCATATCATTTCGAGAATTTATTATCGCTTTGTCAATAACGTCACGTGGAACGCTGGATGAAAAACTCGATTGTCAGTAATTCGATTTATTTGCGTGTTAATTTCTGAAAAACGTATTCGTTCAATCAAAATTAATAGAATTTGACTTAGAACATTTCGGTACGGGATTTCATACATTTGTGGCAACCTGTTATATTAGTTCGTATTCGCAGCGGTCTGAGGCACATTGCGACACACAAATGGGATCGATCCACGCACCCGTGGCTCACCAAGCCTTTCATTCTTCCAGGGTCAACAACTTGGTACCAGACTTGTCTGGGAGGAAAGCAGAACTGGCTCGATATATCCGTAACCACCGCGAGTCATTGTAAAAGGCCAGATATGCATTCAATCACCTCCAACGATACTTAACGAAGTCAAATGCATGGCGCATAACTCAGGAAATGATCCACGCCGTGAGCTTATTTTAAGCTTTTATTATATTAGTTTGCTCAGGTAGGGTGGAAGTTTCTTCAACGAATCTCCAAATCGATTTCGTATTAAAACCTCTGAATAGCTGTCTACTGGCAGAAACCGTTCAATGCTGAGTTTTAGCTTATATTATCACATAGCATGTTATAGTATAGTTATTAAATGCCATCTTGCGTTGTGAAAAAACATGTCCGTTTTTCAATGGGTTGCGATTTGTGATCAAATCATCCTTGAAGTGTTCACAAATGTAGAGAACAAAAAGTCTGATCGTTATAGGTCGTTTAGCCCAGCACTACCATTTTGAAGTTCGGCGCTTACGACATAGTGATTTTACTCAGTTTTTCAGGGGCATTCTCACTCTATGATGTTGATAAGGATGGATATATCACTAAGGATGAGATGATTGATATTGTTCAAGCCATTTACAGTATGATAGAAAATATCTTGGAGCCCTGTAAAGATGGTGATACCCCAGCTAAACGTGTTGATAAAATCTTCACAAGCATGGACAAGGTAGAGTTGAATTGAACACTTGTGCGTTTCATATCACAACTAGATACTGTGATAGAAAGCGTTTTCGGAGTAGACATGACAAAACGCTGAATTTCCTTGTTTCCATAGAAGAATAGCAGAAAGGATTTCTCAGCAAAAATTCATCCTTCCCATACTGAAGTTATAAGGTGTGTTAAAATTTTCAGCTTTTAGCTACGTCACATAGTTAAGAGATCACTTCTGCGCGTGTTTTCAAAATGCTGGGAAGGAATTGGGAATATTTCACTTCTGCTGAAGAAAGCTGCCAAAATTTGTAGAATGTTTTTCCTTAAATCTTTTAAAAAAAGGGAAAGTAAGTTTGTAATATTTTAATTCTTTGCATAGTGCTACAGTTGCCTGATGAGAGACCTGTGAGAAAGAACTTCCATAATGACATTGGAGGAAAACCGAATTTCTCACTTTTTTCACTATTGCTAAGGATTCACCTGAAACGAGGTGTTACAAAGGACTGATTTCAGTATATTCTCTCATGATCTAAGATTATGCAGAGTCAAGCTATGTTATGAATCCTGTGCAACCATGAACGACATTATGATTGTGACAAAATCCTTAACGTTAAATTCTTTGTCTTTGTATACCATCTTTATTACGTGAATATTTAAATGCATTAAATGCAAATAAATATTAAAATATATATAATATTAATAAATATAATATTAATATAATAATATAATATTTATTATTAATATTTAAATGCATTTCATTATTAAGCTGACACGAGGTTGATAAAAAAGCTTATTCGACTGAGGTTTCGGCGTGTTCGCCTTTCTCAGAGGTGGATTGGTCAGTGTCAGTTAGTCACAGGTATTCCTTCTTCCTATGTGAGACTTCGTGATCGCATCTAGTCGAATCCAATAAAGCATCGCTCGAATGGTTGCTGTTTCGAACGTTGAAGAAAAACGACTCTCAGCGAACAGTCGGAATCCACAACAACCGTCTCGTATAAAAGACCACTGCCGAATGAGATTAGTTCATTCGAGCGATGCTCCACTGGTTCCAAATCGATGCGTTCACGAAGACCCACATCGGAAGAAGGATCAACTGAGAACAGTAAACTCGGATCAGCCTGGCTGCGGCGAGGGCGAAGGCACGGAAACGTTAGCCGATTAAAGTTTTCTTCATCAACCTCGTGCTTTCTTATCAGTGAAAGAATACATACTGATTACTCATCTTGAGGTTACACGAATGTCGGTTTCTCAGATATTTAAATGTATATTTGAATTAATCAATTTCTTTGTTTTACAGTAGGCTGTGACAGTAAATGTGAATTCAGCCTTGAGACATAGTGTTACTATTTTATTTTCAAGAACGTTGATGGTCGCCTGACTCGAGAAGAGTTCAAGGAAGGCTCAAAAGCCGATCCATGGATTGTGCAGGCTCTTTCTATGGATATGTCTAACTCGTAGCCAACGCATTTTGCAAGGTGTAGTTCACATGGGCAATTTTGTGCAAAATGCGCTATTGCCACCCCTTAGTGGTGGTGAAGCGATTATATCTCCGATAATGTATATTCTTTGTTCATTGAACCCATCAAAGCTCTTTCCACATTACCGAGACTAATACAATTTTCCACTTACGCCAGGAGCTTATTGTCATACACTTCTAAGGAAAACATTTATACACAGCTCAGACTAACTGGAGTGAATATGAATGTAATTCATGCTGTTAAAAACTGTTTGATGAAATTGTACTGTTTGGCTTTAGCTTTGCTCATTATATCTGTTATCGCCGTCATCCACAAGCAGATACATACTTTTTGAATGCTTACAAACTGGTGGTTTTAATTTTGTAGCGTTTCCTGGTGAAAGGAAATCTCGTGTTTCACTTGTTTCGACATTATCTCGGCAGCACGCCTTTCCCAACTTCTCGATCGGGAGTGGTTCGTGACCATAGCGTGATGCTGCTCACATCAACACTTTTTTTTACACGACCGCAAAAACTCATACATTACTTCTAACTAGTGCTGTCTCAATATTTTCTTCGAAACGGTGAAGTTGTAGCTGCTAAGTGCTGAATATTGCTACCGTTTTTGAGTGTCATTAACGCTTTTACCTTTTCCATTCTGAGGTGTCCTTTATGATCTGAGGTTGGAATTTAAGTGTTAAGCAAAATGTTCCTAATAAAATGGATTGTTTTCGTTCTATTTTGCAAAGCAAATTTAGAAGAACAGAAAACTATACCAGAGGAAGCAGAATGCCTTTAATGAGAAAAGGCAGAGGTTAAATGTCTAGGCGATGAGTTATCGAGGTTGCCGAATTTAAGGGCCATTTTACGCTTAGCAATTTTGAGCATTATTTACTCGGACATTGCGAATTATTTCGCAAAGTGTTCACCGTTGTTTTTTTGGAACACTTTAAATTAGTACAACCAAGAGAAATTGGACGTTATGTGCTACATACCGTTCATAGCTCGTCCGTCTGTTATCGCTACCTATGTGACCGATGAAGTCTTCGATGATGGGATGCGAGCAAACGAATTCGAATGATGCAAATGAATGAAGAAAATAGTAGTGTAAAAAAGTTGCCTCAACGAGAGTTTTCCAACACCTGCCTTATGCTCGTTAAGAAATTACCTTAAAATCGATCTCGTGTCATGATCAAGCTATGACTTCCATCCTTTCAGCGTTGGAAAATTTGCACAAGAATGAAATATAAAGAAATTTCATGACGCTACTTTGTTCTGGTCTGCTATAAAGTTTCCCGATTTTTATTCTTTAAAACCCAAAGTTCTCCAGCAGAACTCGAACCCATACGTAAGGTCTGAAGCTCTTCATAAAAGAAGGCTGCGAGAAGAATCGAATGAAATAAGTGCTGGTATCCATATAAGATGTGAAATTTGGTTTTATTGTTGATCAGAAAAAAATAAACAATTTTCACAAGAGCAGGCTACTTTTCTGGTTTCACGGAATAACTTTCATTTCACTTCACTCTAATTTTCCACTAAGTTTTCTGTTTCCTCACTTACGATAAAGTGTTACCAGAATTATCTGAAGCGATAGACAGTTTGTAGAGTCCGAATAGCCAACAAATGTTTTTCATATCACCCGTCAATTAACCACGGTATCAACAATGGATTGGGATCATCGAAAGTGAGGAAAACGAAGACGGTTAAATTTAGCAGGTTAAGTCTTTTTTCAACTTCTAGCAAGCTTAATAATCCAGAAGGCCTTAATCCACACTTATCCTTTCAGCGTTGGAAAATTTGCACATGAACGAAAATTGAACCTTCCAAAATTGAAAAAAAAAACTTTTTTCTCAGAGTTCATCTGTCCGATATACATTCTGCGGCGCGTAGAAAAATTGTTGCTGAATTTCCACAACGAAATTTGCAGCCTACGACACGTTATCGCTACCATATAATTGTCAAACTTCTCAGGAGACTCCTATACATCTGTAAGTAGTAGGAAGGAATACTAGGTGGATAATTTGTAGCACACAACGAGCTGTGCTTGGTTTTCAAAGTCTAAAGGTGTTTTCTAAATTATTAGAATACTTTAGAAACTGGGAACTACACAGAAATATGGTGCTTTATCTATCACCTTGTGGTATACAATTTCTGTAAATAATCTCCTGATCTCAAATATGTTCTGGACGTAGATTTACAAAAACATCGCAAAAAATTTAAAATTTTGAAATACAACCACAACGTTGCTGAGATATTTGCAAAACTCTGGACCGCAGGTGTCTATGGTGGGGAACGAACGCGCTATTATCCTTTCCGGGGAGTAACGCGTTCACCACCACACCATGCGGGTCCTTTGTTTCGCACATCTCTCAGCTATTTCTATCGATCTTTTTGCCACAGCAATCACCCGTCAGCGGGGTTGATCTGGGGAGCGCAAATCGCGAATCGCGAAATTGCTTCTGGAATCGCGTTACTCCCCGGAAAGGACAATAGCGCGTTCGTTCCCCACCATAGACACCTGCGGTCCAGAGTTTTGCAAATATCTCAGCAACGTTGTGGTTGTATTTCGCTTACTTAGTAACCTGCCATGAAAATTATAGAAGGCAGAAAACAAAACGTTAAACATTAAAATTTTGAAATTTCCAACTTTGTTGTAGCAGCCGCCAACAAAAGCAATACATTAAGGCCATCATGACGTCCAGTTGGACGAAATCAGGCTTGTTCAACGGCCTTCAATACCGAAATAGGAACCTAGAAGAGCAAAAAAAATATATGTCATGGGGATGAGGTTCTAGTATAATAATAACTCCGTCTTGATAAAAGCATCAAAAGCACCCACTACTTTTGCACCGAATGCATTGGTTTCAACGGACCAGTATGTCTTTGGATTCGCTGCATATCTCAACCCTTATGCTCACAACATTCTACCGTCAGTGGTGTATTTAGAAGCACTTGTTTCAAGATCTACACATTCATGACTGACACTTCTTACACACTCTATAGTTAACAAAAGCAGTAACCTCTTCAATGTTCACATCTTACACTCAATTTACAAAAACAGCTAAAACTCTGCCACCTTTACAGTTTTCAAGACGACATTGCGTAGAGTCGCATGTAATTTAAATGAACTTCAAGGTAGACTCAGCAACAAAGCCGGAGTTGGAGCGCAAAATGGGAGCGGAAAACAGGAAGTGGAGGCATTACCGCCACACCCATTTCGTCAATCGTTCTTTGGACAACAAAATCCTAACAATGAAGTCGATATGATGTTTCAGATGGCGAACAGATACTGCTCCAACCTAACAGAATTGCAAAATTGTGGTAATCAAGAGGTACGATAGCTGATAAGATTAGAAAACATTAGACTTTTCATTAATGATATCGGTGGATAATATATAGTAATTCCTCATAAGTTAGGTGTTAAGATAACGAGAAAACATGAAGATGCTTTCTTTAATCGCCCATCATCTGAAAAAGAATTCAAAAGTCGATGCAAGAAATTGAACAACGAATCAGTTAAAATGGCAAAGGCTGTTAATTTAAAACCATCAGTAATGTCTTAGAATAAAATTGATTTAGCAACATGTACTTTCTTATACTTACTTATCAAAGTTGATAGGTTAGTATCCAATGATGATCTTGCGCCTACCGACCCATCGTTATTCTAGGTTAAGCCAATCATCAGATGTTTAGACGGACCAGCGAATAGAATAACGCTAACTCAGTTGTTAAAACAAATTTTAGCCTAGCTTACAAACATGGAGATGCTTCTGGATCATCTAAGAACGCGCGTCTTAACAGCTCATATGTGGTGTCCGACGTTACCGCCCTTTATAATAATGTGTTGAATGACCTCGCTGTGCAAGCTAGCAGTGAACCCCTTATGCAACACAAAGGAGCAATAAACATGTATGACTTCACGATACAGTGTTGATGGAACACCTAAAAGAATGCCTGAATTACTCAATATTCAGACGATAGGGAAAGTATTGCGCTCAGATGAGAGGCTTGGCAATGGGAGAGCAACTGGTACCGAGTCTTGCCGTTGCATTTACGTCTCAGGTGGAGGAACCTGTGACTGATCGACGTCGTTACTCTTCTATAGATATGTAGATGATTCCTTTGTTATTTGCTTAGCACAAAAAAAAATAAATTAGTACTTTGAGTTGTTGAACGAACAGCCAGATTATATTAAATGTACTAGAGAGAAACCAAAAAAACTGGTTTCCATTTTTGGACGCTCAAATTAACCTGCCCGCCCAGAAAACGCCTACATAATGAAATGTTACCGAAAGTCGAGTAGTGGAATAGTATTGGTTCATTATCTTTCCTCTCACCCCTCTCAAAGGAAATGGGCGCTTGTAAAAAACATGTTTCGAATAACCATAGTCTGTGCACAGAAAGAGAGCAGAAGGAAGCATCCCGGAAGCTGGTGCGGAAAATAGCGATTTGCAGTGGATACGAGGCTGTAGCTCTCTTCATCTCAAAGTGAACAAGTGCATAACTGCGGCAGCAGAACATTGTTTAAGAAGAGCCGGTGTACAGAATTCGATAACAGCAACTGAAATACTACCGAGCACTATAAGGCGTCAGCTGGTTAGCATCCGGCTGTATGACAGTCTATGTACAACGCAAAATTGTACAATTCACCCTAACGGCAGAGACGATGATTGGATGAATTCCGGCGTGGTTTATCTGAATTCCTGTAAACCGTACGGGAACGAATACATTGGCGAAACGGCTAGACAACTCTGCGTCCGCATAAAAGAAGATCTAGTCAGTAAATTTGTAGTTAAACCAGACACTCCACTATGTGCGCATAGAGCACAGAGATATAAAGGGGAATATTTTAAAGTTGAAGCTAAGATCCTCGCACAGGAGCCGAAAACAGAAACGCGCAAAAGTCTCGATGCATTTTGGATACATTCAAGGAGTCCGTGAATGAGCCACGAGGTGGATTGTCTCATAAACACGGGTAATATCGCACAGTATTTAAACTTGT